CTTCTGCGAGGCCTTGTGCCTCAGTAAAAACCACTCAGCTGTGAAACAGCGAAAATGGGAGTTGTAATTTATTGAAAAGAATTAGCAGAACTCTGATCCTTAACAGCTGCTAAATCCAGAAACCAGCTACACTTAGTTGTGTGTTTTGTGTCGATTTGAGTAGAGCTTGGTGGAACGGCCTCTGGTTATCACGTAGCAGGGTCCATGTGTGGGCGGTGCAATGCTCTGAGCCTCCCGTTCCCCACCAGCAAGGCTGCTCTCACCGTAGCGATCTGCCATAGGCTGAGTATGTGACGCGAGGCAAACCACTGCTGCTCAGCTCCTTGGCAACAACATCCTTTCCTTTGCCTTCAAGGTTTTTATTGCTTATGCTGGGATCGCCTCTTTCTATAGCTGCATGCCCAGAGCTGGCAAGGTGTGGCTGTATCTCATGTGCGCTCGTTTAAATATCTAGCTTAAGTAGCCGCATGCTTGCGGTGGCAGGGACTTAAGTTTGGGCTGCAGACCGTGCATAAAATGGATAAACATTTGGACAGCAAAAAGCTGTGGCAGCAGGCACTTCAGTGCACTGTGGTCAATACCTTAGCTAACTCTCTTTAGTCCTGAAGCCAGGGCATAAGTCTTAACTTTCAGTCCTAAGTCTACTTGAGGAGCTGTGACGCTTGTGGCTGCAGTGTGGACTCCCTCCGCGTGGGAGGGATCAGACCGCACCGTGGTCTTGATGCCTGTGCACCATCTTACCTTCTGTCCGTTGCGAGCTTTTCCAGGCGACAACCCAGGATCACCTTTCTGACCCTGAAATGAAAAACATAAATTAATGCCATAATCCAAGGACCCAGCCCATAGATGGGGTTCTGCTTCCACCAAGCCTCCAAATTAGAAAAACATGTTGTTTTATCTCCGTCTTGCCCCGACATCCCAAATGTATTAAAGTCCCCAGGTATAGCTGTTTTGCTGGGGCTGGTTGTGGTGAGCAATTGCTGCTGCTAAAGCGCCGAGTTTTAAATAGTATTTGACAGTATTAAATTGACTAAAGAAAGGATAACTGGAAGAAGGCAATGTCAGGACTTTTGATACTTATTAGACTAGACAGCTGTGATTTCTTCCTTGTCTACAACTACCATCTCAAAAATAATTATCAAGCTTATTACTGCGGCTAAACCATCCTTCTTAACAACTGCTGGATGCTGTTGCTGTTTTAACTGCAGGGAACAGATGAAACTGCAGAGAAAGTTACACTAATTAGACACTACCAACAGCCAGAGCAATTGTGAGGCTTTCAGGCTGGCAGAAGAAAGAGGCACACTTTATCTTAAGTGGCAATATTCTTTATTTTCCTTCTGAACAACCGTGACGAGAGAAATCACAATTTAAGACTGTGATCTTCTGATGAACGCAGGCTGGAATTTCAGCAGCGTTTGAACATCTAATTCCCATAGGTTCTTTTGAAAATCCCAGTTCAAATTCTCAAAAGGTGATGTGTGCGCCTAACAGGGTGAGAGACACAAGTAGGAAAAAGTAGAAGAGATTTGAAGCGTGCCAGATTCTTTTGGCAGGGGAGACGTAAGGCTTAGCACTCAAAGCAGCTTAGGTCTGTAGAACATCTCTTCTGGCACAGCTAGGACACCGGTATCCCAGTATCGGGCACTGGCCGTTTAACACCCCTGGGATCATAAACAAGTCGCAACCTCTGGGTGCCAAATCAGCAGCATGGGATTCAAAACCAACCACAGGACAGCTGTTAATTAACGGGGTTAATTAACGTATGTCAAGTGAAGGGCTGGGAGGGAAGGTGAGACCCTACAAAGGAGTAATCGTATTTATTAACTGGCATTTCTCATTAGCAGCACAAAGGTCTAGTTATAGCTGGCTGAGCAGCTTTTCCATGCAGCCTCACTGCAACTACATTTGACACATACTTCCCACCTGGCACAGAGTGTAAATCTCCCCTTCTCCTCCTCCACCATCCACCACAAGCTGCAAGGTTCAGGGAGTGAGATTACTTGGCTACGGACTGTAGGGAGCACTGCTGATTCAAGGCAGATGCATCTGTGCAAATTCTGAATGAAGGCTGCCTGGTTTCCAAACAGTAATGAAGTCATGCAGATAATCTTGCTTTGCATGCAGCTGTTATCAGGGCAATTCTCCCACTCTTTGAGCTTCAGAGCAGTCAGTGGGTGCTACGACTGCTGGGAACAGGTTAGAGCAGTCCACAGGATCACAGGGTGTTCATTTCTACTTTGCAAAATTCATTTACTGCAGCAGGTAGACACCCACCACCCTCCCTAAATCTTGCCATGTGCTCAATGCAATGACTCTGAACCACGTCAAGGAACACAAGCCTCCTGTGTTTTTCCCTGGGAAGCTCCAGCTCACATTAGCAAAGACTGGGCTTTACACCACGGTTCTGTGTTCAACACTGCTGAGACCATCACACAGGTGGAGAACTCGGCCGCAAGCAGGATCACACGTCCCTAAGATCAATCAGCAAGACGGCATCAGGGCCAGAGAGAACGGATGCCTGGATGCTGAGGGCTGAAATTGTGAATTAATTGTGCAACTCTTCTCGTACAGCAACCACAACACGGGAATTAGCCTAAGCCTTGTCCGTCACTAAGCCATGGCACCTCGCCCACAAGCTTCTCTCTTTCCCATCCCAACTAACTGAGCACACTGCTTCCTCTTGTAAAGTAAGAAATTGTTTTCTTCTGTTTTTTCCCTACCTGGGAGAAGACTAGAGCCAGGCAATTTAAACACCTCAGCTTTGCAATCCCACTAATAGTATTTTAAACATCAGTGAGCCAAACTGATGAGCTATCTTGGAGCCAAACCATTCACTAAAAGGAATATTCAATTTTTCCTAGTGCTATAACAAGGGAGATTTATCCAGAGCAGCTAACTTAGCAAACCATACTAATGCCTGATGCCAAAAGCCTCCAGATGAGAGATGCAAACCCAACTCTTGTAACGGCTTTCGAAAACACACCCTGACAGCTAACCCTCCTCCCAATCCCAAACTTTATTAGGGCATCCTCGGAGCTACATCTAGTCATTAGCAAAAACACCCCTTCTGCCCCCACCAGCAGCTTACAGACCACGCAGCCAGCCACAACCCTGGCCCAGCGTACGTCTACAGCCGTTTAAGAGGTTCTCTACTGTCATCAGTCTTTGCTAACTAGCTGCAACAGCAATTTTGCAATTGCCAAGGGCAACAAACAGAATGCAAAAAGTGGCAAGAAGCCCCCTTTAAGCAGTTGCATGTTACAAATTGCTGAGAAAAGCACGATGGGCTAAATTCTCAGGCGGCACGAGCGGGTGTAATGCCACTGAAGTCAGTGGACCATGCTCAAAGAATTTGGCTCAACAGCTACATACAGCTCCGTGCAAAAGATCAGCTTCCTAAGTACAAGGGCCTGCAAGTGCTCAGCTCCAGAGACGAGAACGAGGTGGACTCTGCACAGGACAGATTCAGAAACGCAGCAGGCCGACAACACAACACAACTGGACAAGAGACACGCACAAACACGCACATCTCTGCCAGCTGCAATGCCACATCACCATCACATCCCTCGCACGCAGCCGACTGCCTGATCTTACGAGTGCTCAGCTGATAAAAATTATGCTCCTGGGTTACTTGCTAAGTGACAATGACTTGGTGTTAGTCATTGTTTCCAAGCTGTATCTATCTGGCAAACATCAGTTTTCTTTCTTGGATTGCTTGTTTTTTTCCATGGTATTAACTGCTATCTAGTGAAGACCTAGCCCAGCAGCCACTTGAAGGCTCTCAGCAAGAGAAGTTCTAGTTGGGGCTGCTCTGCCTTGTCACCCAGGCTGAGCTTTTGCATGCCCATAATTTCAGCCATTGGCTGGGTCTACTAGGAAGATATAAGGTCCCAGGTGCAGGCTTGTCAAGTCTGGCAAAGGGTAGAGGCATTAAAAAAGTGTAAAGGGGTGAAATATCAATTTTTTTGTATGAAGTCAGTCTTCTAGGACTGGTGTAACACCACAGAAATGAAGGGGAGATGTCAAAACTCTGGGACCTGATACACACTTTCCAAAAAGCTCTTCATATGCAAGGACCTTGCAATCATGGCTGAGCAGCCTCTCCCTGCTAGAGGTGAAGTTATGCCCAGGCCTCATAGCCCACTGCAAACCTAATACTTCTTTTGACGAAACACCATGTAGAACAGCCTAATCCTGCAAATGGTGGCTGGATAAAATTAAAATATATCGCACAGACTGATGACACCAGATCTCTGCTGCAGACGTACTACAGCTATCCATCCGCTGAGGGCTTTGGCTTTCTGCTGCCAGACTGTGCATCAAGTTGGAGAAAAAATGCTTACAGGGAGTTTTTATTTCTAGGAGGAGACCAACTGAACACAGCTTTACAGCCAAATGATGATTTCTGACAAGGCATTATACTAAATGTGTTTTTTTTTTTTTTAAAATCCTATAGCATAGAAACATGGTTTGACTCTACAGATTGGATCAGGCTGAATGTGCAGGACTGGAAGTTAGATAAAAGAACTTTGATTTGACTTATAAAACTCAACAAGTGTGATCTGGAAGTCATTGATGGAGAATAAATGCAGAACACTAAGATGTAGAACTTTTACAGCCTCACTTTTCAGGCCATATAACTATACTTTAGAATTTAAAACAGCTGCTGTTGACCAGCATGTCTCCAGTGCCTAATTTTTAATCACGTAGAGGCAGCATGCCAAGTTTCCAGAATCTTTTTCCCAGAGCATCAATAGTGTTCATAACATCTCTGCCTACCGATGAAATCATGAAAAGAAAGGACTCTTGCTTGCACCTTTCTCTATGTTTGGCTGAGACATCCTGCAGCTTCCTCGGAAGTGAAAACCTCTATTAAGCATTGCCTGTCAAAACTCAACTACTCTTTAGTCCCAGATAGGTGTTATAAAACATAAATCTATTTCTGTGTAAACAATGACACCAAAACAATCCAAACCAATTTCCCAGGAACTTCACAGTCTTTAAGTAACACAAAGCCTTATCCACGGGAACCAGCTGGGAATTAAATCATCTTTCTGAAGGGTTTTGCAGCACACCGGATTAGCTCCCATCTAAAGCGGGAGGACTAAAGTCCCATGCAAAGGGAAGAGGTCCGGCTGCGGGGGGTGACTCCCACCTTGCAGCGCTCCAGCCTCCACCCGGCTGCAGCATCCCGGGGGGAGCGTGTGTACAGGAGAAAAGGACAGAACACGGGGCTCCTGGCACTGCAGGAGGAGGTCTGGGAGACATCAGGACATCTACCAGGAAGCAACGGGATCAGTTTGGGAGGACTGATAGAGATCAGGGTTCCCAGAAACTCTGGAGAGGGAAGGAGAGACAGAGGAGTTTCAGGAGGAGGAAGGTGGAGGAGGAGGCTGGGTGCTACCAGTCCCAGCTCCGCCGCTATCTGGACCCAAAGGTGGAGGAGTAGGTTGCAAAATCCAGAGAAAAGAAATAAGAAAAGCAAAGAAATCCAGACCTGGTGAGGCTCTGGAGTAGGAGGATTCCACTGCCCTCGTCTCAACATAGCAGTTTGCTCCCTGGCGCAGGCATAGCTTAAGCAGGATCCTAATTAGGCAATCTTTGAAATTAGGGAGAACCAAGAACGGAAGCACGCAGCAGGGTCTCTCACAAGCACAGGAAAAGCTTTGGCTGTGCTGCTGGAGGGCCTGTGCGCGAGCAGAGGGGAGGGGAGAAATGGCTTCAGCCACTCATCATTTTGTACAGAGCAGGACGGAAAAGTCCGTCCATGCCCCACTCGTACGTCCTCTGAAACAGGGAGGCAAAAGCTCCTTGCACCAATTAATACTTACTTTCAGGCCTGGGGGGCCAGGTGAACCAGGGTTTCCGTGGGGACCTGGGGGACCCTAAAAAACACAACAAACACAAAACAGAGTCAAAAGGAGTCGGTAGGCATCTGTGTTAGTCCCGGGAGCGGCAGTGTCTCAGGCGGTGCTGTGGCCAGACCTAACAGCACAGCACCAGCTTCAACGGCACACTCGGAGCAGTGGCATGTTACGGAAGGCGAGGTGTGTCTGTCACCACAAGATGTGTCATGATAACAAGATGATTTGGGTACACCAAATATGCCACAACCAGGAAGAGAAGCTACTTTGGGGTCAGGGCAGTCAAAGCTCTGCGAGGAGCCCCAGCAGGCAGGTACGGAGGTAGGCGGAGGGGAAGTGTGGCAGGGTGTTAACAACCGTTTTGGCCAAAATGGAAGAGAACACAGCTGATTACTAATGGGAAATTTTAAATTGTTCAGGTATCTGAGATGAACTCATTTCCCCAGAAACCAGATTTTTGCTTTTAGAGGTTAGAAAGAGAATGGATGGACAGACAAAAAAATGGGGGGAGCAGAGTTAAGTCCCTGCTTAAATCATTTAAATCTATATTTTTGCATAAGTCTCACAAGCCAATGACGCTGTCAGAGTATCTACCTCTGATCACATACAGCAGTATCTCCTTTTGCATCACATTTTAAACCACCCTGCATATTTTCCAAAGACTATTTAAGGAGTTATCTGGAATAAGCAGCTAAGAATAGTTTATCCCAGGATTGTATACAGCACAGAAGATCTGTTAAGCTTTCAGGCAGAAGTAATAACAATTCTAAGTCCTCTTGAACACGTTCCTGGGAGATGAAACAACCTGAAGATTCAATTCCAATGGCTCCTGTTCTGCCAAGGCTGTGCGCGAGCTTTACGCTACCACGAGGAGCACTTTAATGTACCCTCTAGTTAGGAGGAGTACAGGCTAGGGGATAAAAACCCGCTCAGAGACCTTCTCAGAAAGCTGTAGTATTTCTGATGAGCTCTTCAGCATATGTGGGGCCAAAATCTTCAGGGTTTGATTTCCAAGGAAAATCACTGCAGTTAAACATGCGACTCCCATCCAAGTTCAGTGCCCTTGCTCTCTTTTGAGAGAACATCAGTGCGCTGATGTCTATTCAGTTTTATTTTTACTACGCTGTAATAGAAAATAATGCCTTTTTCTATTTAGCTATTGTGGTACAGACAGTTGTTGAGTGCTCAGTGCTGTTTCACAACTCATGCTGCTCTCCTGTAAGAGGCTGTTCAATTAAAAGGCTGAGGCTGAACTTTTCAAATGGCATTTTTTACCCAAATCAATTTAATGTCCCATTCTTAAATTTCTTCCAAATTTTCAGCCTAAACCAAATACATTTATTGTCCCATTCTTAATTTCCTTCCAAATTTTCAGCCTGAAATTCTCTGACAGTTTAGCCTGGCTGTGAATTTCCAATGAAACGGAAACAACTTTAATTAAGGTGTTTCAGTATCAACTTGTCATTTGAAAACTCATATAGCTGCTGTAACAAGAGTAACTGAGCACCGAGTAGTCTTAAACAAATTCTTCCCAGCAAGCTATGGCATCATCTGTTCACCTCATTGGGTGGGATACTGAAACAGAGACTTAATGTGCTGCTTAAGGTAATTCAACAAGTCTGTGGTAGCAAAAGTGCTTCAACCCAAGTCCTCCAAGTCTCCGATATGTATGAAAATGAATATTAAGTGACAGAAATCAGAACAGTAAAGACTCTAGAAAAGATGAGTTCCTAAAAAACTCTTACACATAAGCAATAATCTGGGTAGCTCTGAACAGGGTTCATAAATCCAGACTGCTGCTAGATTTGAGGAGGGAATTCAACTTTGGAGTCAGGCAGCTTGGCTCAAAGCCCATTTCAGTGCAGTCAGTTGAAATCCGTGCTCCACCATGGCCTAGGGCAGACTTCAAACAGTGTCAGACTGGAGGGAACGGCATGGTTTGGTGTGACTCCTAGCTGAAAAGGATCGTTTCCACGAGGAAACCTGGAACAGAGGAAGCTCAGCTGCTGATCAAGAGCTCCTGGGTAAGAGACAAAGCATGCCTCCTGCAACATTTGGTGCAGTCTCCTCCCGAGCTAAAGTAAAGCATGGCAACACGCTCATAAAAAGCCTTAACCAAAAAGGAAGGAAGACGGGAGAAAGAATCTCAGTATCCAGTGACAAAACATGCGATTATGAGAAACACAGGCTCTTGACAAGATGGAGCCTTTACCGCTGAATTCAATGAGAGTCATTGCATGTAATCCAGGCAAAAGAAGGTCAGAGACCCATCCTGCTCCCAAAGACCAATGTGGTCTTATCCTAGTGAGAAGTGGCCACATCCTGCTGAGGAAGTGACAGGGGGAAGTCCAGTCTGGCACACAAGAAACTGCTGTAACCAAGTCTGGGGCTTGTGCTAGACATTTTAAACTGCTCTCATAACTGTGGAGAGAAAAGGGCGTAGTCTGGCAGTAGTCCTAAAAATGGTAAAAAATAACTGATCTTGATGTGTTCCAACATGGTTAGTCCTGAATCTGTGATTACACCCACATTCTTGGCAGAGGAGGAAGATGCGATGCGGTACAGTTAGATGAGCTGAGTAACAAAAGGTACAGGACAGCATCCGCCTCAGGAGCTGTTAGCAACACAAAATCTGAACAGGCAGGCCTTACAAATTAATCCATGTGCCAATGCGCAAACCCCAATAACAGTCATCGTGCCCCCAAGCTACCCATCCTTGTTTTATTAAACCCAGTCCGATGTTCATTCCTCTCCTACTGGGCCCAGCAGGATCACCCTTCTCCAACCAGTGCTCCCACAAATAGCCCTCTTTTCATGGAGAAACAATTCAAGAGTTAATCACTTTGTAGTTCTATAGTTAATTGCTAGCTATATTTTACTCATGCTATCCTAGATTTAATAAAATTTCCCACTCAGGATTCTCCTAAATATATTTATCATCAATACACTAGTTTTGCTCCTCTTTTCTACACACAGGATGGGACAATGCTGAGAATAAAAAAAAACACCCCACAGCATGTATTACTATTTGCACGCGTGCCTGTTTACCCACTCGCTTTGGCTCCCTTATAACTGCCGAAACAATCCAATCTAGTGACAAGACAACTTGCATCTGAAATCCTCCCTCACCAGAAATTCCATGGAAAATTTCACCGCGGGGCAGCAGTAGGCCAAGGCTCAGCGACGGGGAGATCAGAACAATCCCTGGATGTGTTCTCCAAGGGAGGGGGGTTTCCCAAAGGTGACGGGTTTGTAATCTCCCTGGAATGTCTTTTACGTGAACGATGCTACTTGAGAACGACACTGTGCCAGCCAGTTCATCTCGGTGACGCGCCTGGAGATGGGACCCTGCTCACAGAAGCGCTTTTATGTCTACTGGTTCACAGCCCGCAAAAATTAACAAAAGTGTAACTGTGCACAGCTCCCCCCATCCCTCCAGCATTGATGAGGAGGGGGGAAAAAATCCTCCGAACTCCTGCTAAATGCTAGAAAGCTTCAGGCAGAGGAATGACCACTCATTCAAAACTCATTATGTCTTGGGGTTTCACTGTGTAAAGCAACTTTTTCTGCTCCTGACCTACAGATCTCACTCTGACCTCTGGCTTGCTGAAAAATGAGCTAAATATTTGAAGTAAAGCCAAACAAACTGTTTCTTTAAACACTTCTTCTCAGAAATTGGAAAATCTTCCTAATGGAATGAGGATACCGGGGAACCTCTGCAGCTGACTAAGTTCTTGCTTGTTTTAGGAGGGAAGCCCTGCATTTTGAAGGAAAGGGAGATTTTTTGCAACCACAGACCAAATGTAACAAGGACATGTTACACTGGGACCTTGCAATCTTTCAAACTGCTAAGGTTCACAGGAGGATGGCAAGAGCATCCCAACGCACCAGGGAGTGCATACAACACTATCTTCACCCATTCACTGGGATTTCTCCTATGTTGTATCAGAGAAGTTAAATTACACAAGAGCAATCACACCATGCCAGGATTTTTATTCCCAATCCTGCCTCTGACTTGTTGCATGGACACGGATAAAACACTGCCCTTGTACCTGAGCTTGCCCACCTTCTAGACAGGGAGATCGACTTCCAGTGGGACCCGGCTTCCCAAATTATTTAAGTGTTTTGGAAAGTTTGACCATAGCTCTTTTCTTGCTGTCCTGGGAGCAAAGCCAACGACTGGACTCCTGTCTGTCACGCATCGGCTTGCTGCCTCCTTCCCATAGGAGGGGGACAGAGAAGGTTTACACAGCACTTGTCTGGAAGGCAGCACTTAAGTGCAAGTATCGCGGTTCACTGCTTTTCTGCAGACCTGCTTAAATCGTGGGTAGTTTGCTGGTCTAGCTATACCAGCAAGAACTGCAGCGAGTCACAATTTGTGATCAACGCAGAGGTTCTGGCAAAAGCCCCTCGTGGCCAGCCTGGGAGTGAAGCTAATTGTGCCCTGGGTGAGGCAGGAATAACCTACAAAGGTGCAGAAGTTCGTGCTCCGCCGGGAGCCCTTTGTTGACAGTTACTTGTAGAGCTTGTTTAGCACAGCTCTGCTAGCAAAACCCAGCCTCGGTCGCTGCCTCCCCGCTAAACCTTGAGGTTTGAAGAAATGCAAAAGGTCATCTGCAGAAATGAAGTGCAACGCCCATCACTTGCACAGAACTGCTCTGTGTGGGTTGCTGTGCGTGTACCCGAGTGCTCAACACGCACGCAACTGTGGAAAAGCTGTCCCACTGCGTGCCCGGCAAAGAAACCTGGGGAAACCCTTCACTGCTAAACCCACCATTCCCTTGAGAGGCACCTCAGATCTTACAGAGACACTTGCCAAGGCGCGTGGCACATTCATTTGAGGAGAAGCAGTGTGGACAGATCTCTTGCTTATGCCTCAAATTCTTTAATACAGATATAAAAGCTGAAAACCATCCTAGCTGGATACAGAGAGAGAAAAAAGCCTTCCTGTAAAGTGCAATACAGCAATACCTATACAGGTTTGCAGAGCTGCTGAGAAAGTGCTATGAGCCATCATTTCGGTCATCAGAACTGCAACATATTTACTCCTTTCCCTTTGAGTTCTTATGCAATAATAATAAGAAACACCCAGCTTTTATTTATTACTTATCTCTGCCATCATAGCTGCAGAGAGCAGAGCACAGGTATAGTCTGAATCTGTCTCAATAGGTCCTCGATGCGGAGTGATAGGGTATAAAATTGATTCCATGCTCCTAAAATGGGGATTGGCTTTTAAAAATCGAGAAATTGTCATTTTCAAGAAGACTGCCGCTATCCACTTAGCAACCCTACCTTGGGATGCACTGGAATGCC